CTTCTTTATTTAATCATTACGCTTTTTTACCCTAATAGTATAAGTGCTTCCCCGTGTGCGAGATAGGCTTAAGTCGGAAAGCGCACGTTAAATCTCCGAGGTACCTATCTACCAGAACTTTATTTGCTGTTCTGGTCATACATAAATATATGTAAGTTACGTACATGGGGAGGCTAGATTATTTACAGCTAACAGCAATATAGTGCAAATATTATGTTCAATAAAAGAAAACGTTGATAGATCTATAACACACTTTTTGTACTATTAAACAAACTGTGGACTTTTAAGACATTTTCGCTTATTGTAATAACATCTAGCTAACAAATCATGTCTATCTCTGAAATCCACAAGCATAGTTGCTGTCAAACCTAAAAAACATATTCAGGGAGGTCAGTTTTGACTTGCCAAGCACCTTAAGGTGAGTTTATTTTTAAACTGTCAAAAGCGATTGTCCCTTCAATACTAGTATATGGCTGGAAGCTGTTTCTCGGACTGTTATGAGTTATGATGTATTTTATGATATTACTGGGGAATGTTCAAATTAGTTAATGTCATTTAATCCAACGTTCTAACTGTCAACTGTCTCAACAGGACCATAGGTTTGGTTATATATCTCCTCCCTGTCTCTATGTCTTAAGTTGTTAATCGGTAACTGCGGTCCAAATGTATCAACTTATTCATCTATTGTTGCAAACTTGACTGATTTAAACATATCTAATTGATCATGAACTACTCAGTCAGTCAAGCACCTGTATCAGAAATGTAAAACCAGCCATGTTTCATGTAGTCCCAATATCACTGAAAAATGCCGATGAAACGTGACATATAAATTTACTCACAGACAATATATTTTTCGTGAGAGTGAAGCACAATTTTATTAAAGTTTTATTAACAATTTCATAAACTATAATAATATTAATATTAAAATTCATCATCACTTGCCAAGTTTATGAACATGTCCCCATTTGGGAGATGTCACATATAAACAAGGATTCGAACTAAGTTTAATCGTCTTTGACACTGAGGTTTATCCCCACTTTGCCAGCAAACTGCAGAAGATAAACAGTGAGTGAGCATCGTTTCTATGTTTATACAAGAAAAGATGTTATGCCAAAAACGCTCACAGTAGTTAGTGAGTAAACTCACGACCTGTCATGACCTGGTTGAGTGACTTCCTCCAATCAACGTGAAAGGATTACCCACAGAGAAAGAAAGGATTAAAGTCACCCATAAATCTTATCCTAACGTAGTACTCCAACTTCTAAATGCCTCCCAAAGAAGGATTAAAATCCTAAATATATCCTATCTACGTGGTATAGGTACTCACAACCTCTAATAATAAACTGTTACGTTTGGTATCCCCAGCAATACTCACTAAGGTCATTGGGCAAATGTAAAAATCACAAACCCTAACGAGATTCTGTCTACATGGTCACACCCGGTGATTGTGAAGATCTCAAATTCTATCAACAGTCAGACAGCATGGCTGTTTATATTCATTTACAACATCCTCTTATAATTAGTATAAAAGTGTCCCACACAAAACCTTTTATTTATTCTTTCAAAATACAAAACAGAAAGTGGGGTGTGGGGAAATGGGACATATTCCTACGTGAAATAATGAGACATTAGTAGTGGTGACGGCTATATCATAATTGTACTGTCTAAAGTATACATTTGGCGAACGAAAAACGTTATATTTGCAATCAAATGGAATGACTCGTGTGGGCAAATGAATATGTTCGCAAATCCACAAACAATCATTTTATTAATGGCGAACATTTACCAACCCGCGACAATCGTGTCAACACGGGGGTTCCCCTAGCATTAAACTTGCATCTAAATTCACTACTGTTCTACTGTCGGCTAGCCACAATGGCTAGACGGGACCCTAGTGGAATGGTTCATGCCATAAAAGTCTAACAACCGAACACTAATTAAGACGGGCCGACCTTGTATTTACGGTCTGGTGAACACAGCTCAATGGCCGCTCATTAACTCAAATTTCACATCTCACTGTTTTGTTTTATCTCACTATTCATTTGATAATTTTGTCAACTTCAACTGGAACCCGGACCCGTGTTACACGCGTGGCACACGCGTGTGCAACGGGTTGCACACGCGATGCACACCCGTTGCACACCCGTGTGCAACGGGTGCTCACCCCGTGTGCAACCCGTTGAGCACCCGTGTCACATGCGTGTAACACGCGTTCTCAACGCGTGTTAGGGGAATGAACTTTTAGGCAGTAGTGTATGCTGAAGTTATGGCAAGTGGGTCCAGGGTATTTATGATAACAAAATGGAGATACGATGATAATCGTCTATGCAACACTAAAGGGGTACTGTGTATCCATTCTTTTTCTGGGGTGGGTCTTTCTGGTTACTGGCTTGACATTGAGGCACTTCTCAGAAAGATACGACCAAACGTCATGAAATCTCGCGATCCCAATATTCACTTCCAGGGCATTTTTTGCTTAATTTAGCAAGTTTTTCGCTCACTGTTTCATCAAGAGATGACAATTTTACAGAAGTTGATCCTATATCTAAGCAGCAAATAAGCATCATACATACCTATTTCTGGTGATTAACTGCTCAGTCAGATTGAATCAAATGTTCACAGATTCAATCTGTTCATTAATTACCGATATAGTTTACACCATTATTAGTTTGAAAGATGCTGTCCCAATAATCTGACCAATGTCGTATTATTGTTGAATTATTAAGTATTTATTACAAATTCATCAAGATATGAACAATTCACAAAGTTGACCCCTCCCCCAACTATATTATTCAAATAACTAAAAATCTGCATTCTAACCGCAAATGAGTATCATGTATACCTATTGTACCTTGTATACCATCTTCTTTACGTCGCACAGCAGTTCTCCCTACCATACACGATCAAAGGCTTTTGACACATCACAAAATATTATGCAATAATACCCCCTGGTTTATCTAAAGCATAGCAAACATTATGATAGAGTTCAATAAGTTGATGAACCGTGGAAACCTGACTGATATTTAAACAATAGCATATTTTCAAGAAAATAATCAGACATATATTTTAAAACTACTTTTTCAAATATCTTACCAACACATATGATTAGCGATATGGACGATAGTTAGACACGAGCATTCTGTTAGTTTTCTTGAAAAACGGCATCACATATGCCTTATTCCACATGGAGGGATATATACCAGCTGACAAAGTGGTTTGCTATTTGAATCTGCAATATATTATAATAATTGGTGGCTTATTCAGTCTGGCCGTCATGCTTTGTTTCCATGGAGACTTTTAATTACATCAGATGTGTCTGTTTTCGTCATCCTAATTGTATATCAGAGACTAAACGTAGGTGGTTCAAAGAATGGTAAGAGTTTCTTTCTCTGTATTTGTTTAGAGGACAACTCTTGTTTAACATTTCTGCTTTCCCTATGTCCGAGGACACGGTTTGATCATCATTTTCATTGGGAAGATCGTCACGATATGGCTGAAATACTGCCGATGTGACGTTAAATATTTACTCGCTAACTCATTTATTAGGAAAATGTGAAGGGACAAAGTTTGGTTTTCCAGAACTTTTAACAAGATGACTTTCCAGTATGAAGGCTTGTTTTTTCTGATACATGTGACCTAAAAGGTTATCCAAATACGATTAAAATGATTCTTTCGCGTAATACTTTATGTTATTTACTTAATATCTGCCGTTAAATCTCCTCCTTATTTATCCGTAGTGCCTTTTTTCTCAAGCGATACCATTTTCTTGATTCTCTTCTAAGTTCAGAATTGTACCATGGCTTATCATTGGGACGAATTGTTATTTCCTTAGTAGGTATGCACTACTTTACATATTGCTCTGAGTAAAGATGAAACATATTGCACTCTTTATCGGTATTTTCGGGATTTTGTAATATGGTATTCCAATCAGTAGTATTTGTGAGCATATATGATATATGTGAGCTTTTTATGATCTCCTTTTCCATAGCATCATACGTCTCTAGTATGGTTAACCCCAAAACGTTTGGAATCCTTACACATGCAGTGATTACGTCAGTAAATCATGTGCCACAAAGAGGCATATCGGAGGTTCATGTAGTTTGAAGTCCATTATGTACACATTGTCAGTGGTGGAGAAAACAAAATGCAATAGCGGTGGCGGTCGAAGTCAGACAATTCAGATCTACCATCGCCTCGAAGATCGACATCGAGCTGTAGGAGCTGTGAGAAACATGCTGATCAGATTGGTCTGGATACAAGAAAGCTATTCAATCAGGGTCCTAAAACAGACGTACAGAGCAAACAACTTAATTCAGCAAATTAAGCTAAAAGTTCCGAGGACAGCTCAGAAATAACCCTGGGTCTTAAAAGAAGTGTTAACGCCTAATTGTATTTATTTGGTGATTGGTTTTCTTTCAATGATTGGTGCATTTGTTCGTTGGAATATTGTCAGTGTTTCATTTGAATATTCTTTGCAAAAACAGGCTCGTCGTTTTTTACTAGTTAGTGAGTGAGTGAGTTGGGTTTAACGCCGCTTTTAACAGTAGTCCAGTTATATCACAGCGTATCAGCTTAATGTGGGAGGAAAGCCCGAAGTGATGCAGGTCTCTGACTTTTACCACTTCGGTGATACCCACGAGCACGGGAATGGCGCTTACAAACCTAGAAACATAATCGGGGCGAATCGGGATTCAAACTCACAATTATCGGTTTCTGGCGTGCCGAAGGGACGCAACTCTGCACAGCGAATCGCGGCGCCTTAGATGACTGGGCCACCCATGCCCCCGTTTTTACTGGTATGTGGCTACAGATTGTTCCCTGGTTTTTGTTTGAACCAAATTTCGTTTGCTACCAGTAGTGTGACACGCTGTAGACGTTGTGCATCTCTAATGTTTTCTTGATGTATGTTCCAAAGCACAAGCACATGTGCTTGTTACCAGCGGTCAGGAACAAAAGGGCAAGTAACAGAGGCCTATTCGTTGTTCTGTTGAGATACTTACTGTCTATGTCCATGTTGGTGATCATATCCCGGACTTCGGTGTCTGTTGGCTTGATGCCAAGCGACCTCATCACCGTCTCCAACTCCTTCGGCGTGATGCGACCATCTTTATCCTCGTCGAACATGGAGAAGGCCTCGCGGTATGCTGTAGAAAGCAACAGGATTTCAGGATTTGGGGTAAAGTGTAGAGGTAAGGGCAGAATTTGTTTGGGGTAGGGGTATGTTCTGCGTGATAATTAATTGCTTTGTGATATGTAAACATGTTACACAAACATATATATATATATATATATATATATATATATATATATATATATATTGCATACAGTAAATACATTTAAATGGTAGTAAATTATACAAGAATCTATATGTCACATTTAACAAATAAAAGTAGCAAAACACAATGTCTACAATAAGAAATTGCTTTTTTTGAAAACGTAAAATACTATAATATATGTACTGACATATTAATTCGTAAAATAATATTTTCTGCGTGTTGTGAGTAACCTTTGAACCACGATACTGAACTAGTTAAATACATGTTACTATCATAACATAAATATATATGTATTGAACCAGAGGAGACCGCTTCCGTGGTCTAGTCGTAAAGCGTCCGCCCGGAGAGCGGATGATCCTGGGTTCGATCACCGACCGTGTCATACCGAAAGACGTTAAATGATGGTACTTGTTGTTACCCTGCCCGACGCTCGACATTAAGGGCCAAAAACAAGGCCTGGTCGGCTCGGGGTCAATATACTGTGTCTGAGTGGGGTATTCATGTTAAACTGCTGCATGGCATCCCAGATGGCGAGCACTATAAAATATGCATCAGTCCGGACTAGTACAAGCAGCCACACACACACACGTCCATGCACATCGCTTATATAAGTGCAATAATCTTGGAAGCTACGTTAAACCCCAGTTCACCTCACCAGAACCAGGGGGCATATTCTGCTCCCTTAACTCCTGGAATACAATTGTGTGTCGTCCAGTTTTACCCAAAAATATCTGTTCTCTTGTCATGCATATTCTGCTCCCTTAACTCCTGGAATACAATTGTGTGTCGTCCAGTTTTACCCAAAAATATCTGTTCTCTTGTCATGCTGGATTTGTTTGGTTCTAAAAATGTATGGACTCTCCTTTCAGAGAAGACAAATTATATGAGTTACAGCGCTGAGAAAAAAATAATTTGTCAATGAAACATCCAAGGCCCTTCCAGTCCCTTCAAACTTGATCAGTCTCAAAACACACTTGTGTAGGTGTATGCAGATCTAAATAACATGATACCTGGTCTTTGGTCTGATCGGTGTTGAAACATAACAAATTCTTTGGCAAAAAGGTAACAGGGCAATATTGTGTGTGACCACCATTAGCATTGATACAAACGAGGCAGTGGTGGTGCTCTAAAGACACCAGGTGATTGAAAACAGCCTGGTGGAACGTTCACCTGGACGCTTTCGACCCGTTCCCGACCATCAGAGCTGTCCCGACGGAACCTGGACTCATTTGTGAACAGGGATACTGTCCCAGATTTGTCTTCTGAACCTCAGATGCTGTCTACGCCAAGATCGGCGTGCCTGACGGTGACGAGACGGATGTTATGCCCCCTCCACCCCTTGCGTGCGGTTCCGCTACTGATTGGTCTCAACCCAGGTATTGTCCGAGCTGTTAATGTGTCAAATTAGTATAGATTCCGTAGATGAACCAAACAGAATATTGTTGTCTTGTTGACATGACGCCACACGTCCCATGGCAAGTCATTAGTGATGCCCTGCTGTAGATAAAGTCTCCAAAGAGATCATATTGTGTTTAGATCAACATTAAACCTTTCTGGCAACTTAGTTTTGCGCCACTCCTGTTTGCAGCATATCCACGGCTCGTACACGATGATGTTTAGCAAGCGTTATTTACGGTTAAACAAAAGTGTTTATAGGAGCACCTGAGCCTAATGAACACGCAAACATCCAAATTGTGCGCCGTGCATAAACAACTTGCATGTTTTGTTTGTTTGTTTGTTTGTTTGTTGTTTAATGGCGCACTCAGCAATATTCAAGCTATATGACGGCCGTCTGTAAATAATCGAATCTGGACTTGACAATCCAGTGATTAACATCATGAGCATCGATCTATGCACTTCGGATACGATGTCATGCATCAACCAAGTCATCGAGACATGACCACTCCATTCCGTTAGTCGTCTCTTGTAACTTGCATGTGCAAATTGTGAATCACGACCTTAAAGTCGAGGATATGTCTTCGTGAATAGTATTAAAAATGCATACTAAATTTCAGAATACAGTTTTACTGAACTTTCTATGCAGGATAGATACTGTTTGTTTGTTGTTTAACGCCGCACTCAGCAATATTCCAACTATATGACGGCGGTCTGTAAATAATCGAGTCTGGACCAGACAATCCAGTGATTGACATCATGAGCATCGATCCACGCAATTGGGATACGGTGACATGCATGAACCAAGTCAGCGAGCCTGACAACCCGATCCCGATAGTCGCCTCTTACGAAAATCACAGTCGTCTTTTACAGAAAGCATGGGTTGCTTAAGACCTATTCTACCCCGGAACTTCACGGGTCGGACAGTTACTGTTTTCCGTTAGTATATGTACCAAATCGCTCAACACCCATGTATAGGAGTATGTGGGTTATATGCACTATATCGCTTTAACAGAATAAATGAAGACTTTCTCAGTTAGAACCAAACGTGATGTGAATAATGTGTGAATAACAAGCATTTACATGTTTACACAATTTAAGTCATACTCCAAAACCTCGTCCAACATTGCTTTGGCAATAAGAGTAAAAAAAGTAAAAAGATCTACGCAATGTTGTGGAATACCTCCTTTTGACCTCTTTATCCATTATGTGCAAGTAGAGAGCGAAATGCCGAAATTCCGAAATGGATTTTCTTTCTTATATTTCAAAACGATTTCACACACTATCATCACAAGAAAGTCAACAAAATGAATTATTTCTGCTTCGGGAATGGAACGTCACTTCGGGGTTCCGTTTGTTCATATACGCCGGTAATTGTCCTCTCCCTGTATGTGATGTCAGAAATAGATGCTCTTGAAATTCAATTGACACTTCAAAGAACATTGCACAGAAGGGTTGGATCTGAAAGCTTGACAATTCAGATATTTGAATTTTACAGCATCATACGGTGATCAGGTATGCAAGCGGAAACCTCCTTCTGGTAACCAAGGATACCACAGGGTCTGTAGATGTTCTTATTTCATGATACCTATTTGTGATATTACTGATACTTTAAGCACTCTGGATATATATTGTACAATTCCGACCATGTCATAAGCATATCTTTATGAATCCCTATCAATAGTGATGACACCAGGTGCTCGCGAAAAGTTGCGCGTATCCTGTCCCACCATGGGCTCACTACAAACACATGCAAGACAAGACATACAGTTGCTCACCAATATGGGTACATGTCCAAATAGAGAAGTGCATCGAAAGTGTATATTTTTTGTCACTGATGCGTCAATTGTAGAAATGTTCTCTACCATAAAACGTTTTGAAAGCATCATTAAGAGCTGTGTGATGTTACCCTGATCAAACAACATTTGAGAAAGATTCGTATGACGCTGTGTGAAATCTTCGTATAAAGAGCAGACTCGATTGTACCCTAAGCTGTGAAACGTAGACAGCAAAGGCTGAGGTGAGGTGAGGTGAAATTGGGTTTAACGTCGCGTCCAAGATTATTGCACTTATATAGCGACGTGCATGCACGTGTATGTGTGTGTGTGGCTGCTTGTACTAGACCGGACTGATGCCGATTTATAGTGCTAGCTCACTGAGATACCATGCCGCAGTTTAACACGAATACCCCACTCAGACACAGTATACTGACTCCGAGCCGACCAGTCCTTGTTTTAGCCCCTTAATGCCGAGCGCCAGACAGGGTAACAACAAGTACAATCTTTTAACGTCTTTTTGTATGACGCGGCCCGGGATCGAACCCTGGACCTTCCGCTCTCCGGGCGGACGCTCTACCACAAGACCACGGAGGCGGTCAGCAAAGGCTGAAGCTGCTGGCATATTGCTTGACATAAAGGGAAATTTGACTATTGGAAAATTGAAGTCATCAGTCTTGTCGGGCGTTTTTGTCACTGTGAATCTTTATTCATATATATAAATATGGTTAGGTTTTTAACACACGATGCCATTTAGAAAGTGGTCAAATGTAACAAATGTCATATTTGAGATAACATTTTCTGAAAGTGTTATCCCAAATATAACATTTCTTATAGTTTCGTTTTTGACCAACCGTCCATAACCGTTGAGGGACAGGGGTGTAATTATAACCTATGGTCCCCACCTTTAGTGACAAGTGCTCACTGAATCACGCGATGATGTTTTCCATACTTTTGTCATGAGTGATAACGGTGTACAAAGTTAAAAAAAGAAGCTTGGACATAATTGAACTTTGTTCTTTCCTGAGATTTCAAGTTTGGACGATCCACATTATATTAATTCCACTTGCCTGAAATAGTTTTTGTGAATATAAGGAAATACCTTCCTGGATTGTATTAAGAATAATGGTTAATCTTTGAGACATGGATTTGGAGCTACATTTGCTGGACTCAGCAATATATCTCTCTTTGTACGGATTTGTATGGAATTTGGGAATCAAGTGCAAAATAGCAATGGGCATGTCTTCAGGTTTTAGAGTCGAGTCAAAGGATGATACTACCAATGCGTGGTTTTGGTAGATTTCTTCCCAAGTTAAGATATTGGCTTTGTATGAGGCAATATTTAATATGTCACTTATATGGAGTTCTTTGATCACTAACTTAATGAAGTGTATGTTTTCGCGAACACCCGGTGTCACTAATGATTTTGGATGATCCATTCATATAATTTCACCACCAGTTTGCCTTTTACGTCCAATGAAATCTGTTTCAGAAGAAAATATAAATGATTGTTTCCTTGGCTTTGACGTTCATATTTACTTGAACCGGGTCGATGTTTCTGCTGGTGGACGTATGTCCCCGCGTTTCATCCTTAGTTCAGTAGTGTCTACCTGATGGTTCTTGGTGATCCCGGATGATGCTTCACTATAGTGTCTACCTGATGGTTCTTGGTGATCCCGGATGATGCTTCACTATAGT